AACTCATCAGAGTTTTGTAGAGTAGAACAATGTGGAGTGAGCAAAGAAACGAAGAAAAAGTTATTCTGTTTTGCATTAAGTCTCATTTGGGGACCTTTTATTTTCTTGAATCTTTGTATTCAAGATTTTCCCCCTAAAGTCTCTCAGTATTGTATCTCAGTATTGTATCTCAAGGCTTGAATTTGTTTCTTAGTTCTTTTAAGCTTGAGAAATGCCCTTTTTATTCTCCAGTTCTAGCTCTCTGCACATTCCATTATAATACTTTTCTCTTATTGGGCTGCTCTTTAAAATCTTCTATGTGCTCTTTTACTTCCCTTTGTTTTGGCTTCTTGACATTCTAGTGCAGTTTTCAAAGTCTACTCTGACATAATCAAAAGACTGTGGAAGGGGAGCTCTGGTGGCCTAGTGGCAAGACGCTGCACTGCACTCCCAGAGGTATGTGGTTCGAATCCACCAGAGGCTCTGAGGAGGGGCAATCCTGTACCAGTCAGATCTGATTTGACGGTACACACACATGCACACACACAAATAAAATAATAATTAAGAACAAAACAAAACAAAAACACGACGACGACTATGGAAAGAATACACAGAGTCAGTGTACCAAAAAGAATTAGTCAACACTGAAATGTTTCAGGAAGTAGCATATGATCAAGAGCTAATGTTAATGAAGGAAGAAGTTCAAGGTGCAGTGAAGGCATGGGGAAAAAATAAGGCCCTGGGAATATATGGGATTCCATTAAACATGTTTCATATGACAAAATGTAGCCCTGGACGTGCTTATCAGTCTGTGCCAGGAAATTTGGAGGACAGCTGCTTGGTGGACTAATTGGATGAGATCCATATATTTGTTCTCGTTCCCAAGAAAGGTGATCCAACAGAATGTGAAAACTATCAAACAATATTAATATCACATGCAAATAAAATACCATTGAAGATCATCCAAAAGTAACTAGAATGGTGCAGAGACCTGCCAGAAGTTCAAGCTGAGTATAGAAGAGTGGCACCAGGGATATCATTGCTGATGTCAGAAGGATTGTGGCTGAAAGCAGAGAATACCAGAAGGTCTATTTGTGTTTTATTGACTAGCAGAAACATTTGTGTGATCATAACAAATTATGGCTAACATTGAGGAAAATGAGAATCCCAGAACATTTGATTATGTTCATGTGAGACATATACCTGGACCACAAAGCCATTGTCCAAACAGAGCAAGAGTCCTACAGCCATGATGAGAGAATAAAATTAGATGAATGGGACCTTCTAAGACTCAAATCCCTGTGCACATCAAAAATCTTCTCCAACAAGATAAAAAGAAAACCCACAGACTGGGGAAAAAAATTTGATAAGGGAATTCTCTAGTACCTCAACAAAATAAAAGGTAAATAACCCAGTCACAAAATGGGAACAGGAAATGAATAGACACTTCACCAAAGAAGACATTCAGATGGCAAACAAACACATGATGAAATGTTCAAAATCCCTAGCTCTCAGAGAGATGCAAATAAAAACAAGTATATCATCTCACCCCAATAACAATAGCAAAGTTCAACCAAGCAGCAAACAACAAATGCTGGTGAGGTTGTGGAGAGATTAGAACCCTTATTCACTGCTGGTGGGAGTGTAAAATGAAACAACCACTATAGAGGGTGGTATGGTGCTCTCTCAAAAAGTTGGAAATCGAAATACCATTTGACCCAGCGTTTCCACTATTAGGAATATACCCTAAAGAAACCAGAGCTGTCACCCAAACAGAGATAGACAGACAGACAGACAGACAGACAGATAGATAGATAGATATCTCCACGTTTATTGCTGCATTATTCACAACAGGAAAGAAATGGAACAACCCAAGAACCCATCAACAAACGAATGCATAGAACTATGGTATAATTACACAATGGAATACAGTGCAGCACTGAAAAAAAAAGTGCTCATAAAATATTACATAACATGGGGGACCCTAGAGGATAGTATGCTGAGTGAAATATCTCAGTCACAGAAAGACAAATACTGCATAACAGCACTGTTACAAAACAGGACTGCCATGGGGGATTGGGAAGCACTTAAGACAAGAGGGGGTTAATGAACACTGCATTGAAACAGATGAAGAAAAGAACTGTTTAAAAGGAAGATATGATTAGGCATTATTTGTATGACAGCAATCCAGAATAAGAGGTGCATAGCAAAGTGGACTGGAGAAGGGAGGAAATGATGCAACAGGGAATTTTTTTTAAAAAGTCAACTGGGCTTGGGTATGGAGGGAAATGTGCAATAATGAGTAAATGAATATCCAACTTTTCTGTAAACTTTTGTTCAAATCGCTATTTAAAAAAA